CCACCCACCTTGGTCGTATAAGCCAGGCAGCCCTCGTTTCCCAGCTTTGCCCCAGGCTGCAAAAACCGGGGCACCAAAGTTTGTCATCCGAGAGAAAATCCTAAGTTTAAATTCCAGCCTCTTCAATCTCTCTCTCTCTCTCTCTCTCCCTCCCTCCCTCTCTCCCTCTCTCCCTCTCTCTCTCTTTCTTCAGTCCCCTCAGTGCCTCCCCACCGCCCCGGCGAAGGGAAAAAATCCACAGCCCTGCAGAAGCAGAGCCCCTGTGTTTAGTGGCCATCAGCTTCGAGGCACATTGGCATGAGGAAAGGAAGGAGGCTGGAAAAAGAAGGAGAAAGAAGGGAGGGCTGGCCGGCCGGCGGGCAGGCAGGCGGGGGCCCACCCCCGAAAGGAATCGCGCGTTGGTCTCTCGAGCCAGTTTTGTGCTCTTAGGGGCCGCCGCAGTTTCTCGGCCGGGCTGCAGATGACAGTCAGTGCATGACGGCCTGGCAGCCCATTATCCAGCTCCCATTGAGGCGTCTTTTCACTCCCATGCTAACTCCTTGGCAGAGTCGTTTGTCTCCTCATTGTACTTTCTGGAAGAATGCGATGCTTGTCAGGGCCCTCATTCAATCGCCAGCTACTTTATTGATGAGCTCTGACTTTTAGCACTTTTCACATGTCAAGAGAAGTCAAGTGTATGCGGGGCTACGACTTCATTTTATGCTCGGCGCGTTCATGCCCCCCCCCCCCCCCCCTTTTGGCCTCCTGGAATTTGAAGGGGGGAGGACGCGCCTTCCTCCTCTCTCTTCCTCCCTGCCCTTCCCCTCCCTCTCCCTTTATGCAAGAGGAAGTGCCTCTCCCCCCACCCGTCCTCACCCCCGACCACTCGCCATCAACGATCGGAACACCCTGAGCACGAACTGGTGCTGCCGGTGTCACCTTAAATGCAGGCGCGGAGGGGTTGCTTTGGAGTGTACTGAGGTGTGTCCTAATACCCCGCCATTCAACAAATGAACTTGTGGTAGTGTGTGGCCAAAAGTTTGCCTGCCTTCGGCCCTCGGTTTTTCTGCCTGGGTGCGGAAGAAACAAGGGCGGGGATGAGCTAAGAACCCCAATGCAAGTTTGGGCCAAAGCTGATGGAAGCAAGATGCATATCACACCCCCCAAAAAAAATTCACCCATGGGGAGGTAATTTAGCACTCCCTCTCCTCATTCCGCCTTCTCCCCTTTTTTTGTAGTGTCTGCGGGGGGGGGGGGGGGGGAGGTCGAGGGAACCATACAGCTCTTAGTCAACAAACGGCACGTGGAAGAAGTTTAGGCAAGGACTCTTCAGGGCCTTTTCACGAGAGCCCTCAATACACAAAGTAAATTGTGTATTTGCTCTGCACTTTCCAGGCAGAGGGGAGAGAGGAGAGAAATTCCCTTCTCCACACATTCGGAGAAAAGGGGAATGAATACCCACACATCCAACT